TTGAACGACAAGCACTTTAAAGTCCCGAGACAGGAGCATGCAGCCATCTCGACCGATATTTTCCCCGTTGGTCGTCGATTACCAACGTCGGGCCCGAGCAAATTTCATATTTCTCATTGAAAGACGAGGCGAGGGCAGAATACAGGCCGCTTTGTTACTCCTCCTTGGTCTCGTTGCTCGCCTCTCGATGGATGGATCGTTGTCGAGGCGAGGCAGCGTAGGCAGCGGAGCTTGCTTCTTCAAGGTTGCGATCTTACGCAACTTACAGCACGCACAGATGGATCCGGTTGAAACCGGGACGACGACGGCTGTTGTTCCAGGGGTGTTAGAAAAACGAGAGCTCGAGGGCACGTCCGTGGAAGCTTCGTCCGCATCCCCCGGCGTTCAACGTTGATTTATCGAAGGTCGCGACTTTTACGAGCTCGTCACGTTTATTCGTTTATTCGAAAGCGAATCACCGTTAATCGAACCGATGCCGTAGCACGTGCTCGCGAAACGGGAGTGGCCGATCGATCGGCCGATAAAGGTTGGAAACGGACCTCGCGTTCCGAAGATGAATCCCGTAGTGGAATCGCGTAGTGAAACGTGATCGTAGAACGAGCGCGCAGGATGCGAAGGATTATGTAAAGGAAATGGCTGTGCGCCGTTCAGTTACGCGTATTGTTCTTGGTTATTCATGGGAGGGCGGAATTTTAAAGTGAATAAATTGAATAAAATTGAATTGAATTGAATTGAATTGAACTGAAAATTGAATATAAATATATATATATATATAGATGTCTATGTTAATGAAATAATATAAAATATAAAAACAGTTTCTGTGTTATTTGATACGCGAGACGAGTTTCCAAGTTTTTACAACATTAGTTTAATTCCATTCTCAATCGGCGGTCTATTCGCGACGCGTCCATGGAACGTGGGTTTGATTAATCCTTTCACAATGTGTTTGCGCAATAAATATCCTGCGATGCATTCTGGTTTATGCTCTGAACGACGTATCTCGCATATTTCACAGTCTGTAACCAGAATTTTATTTATTATATTACTAATCGTTTTTACGAAGGAATCGCTTGATATTTTTGTAATATTAATGAAACATTAATTTTTTTTATAAAAAAAAAAAAA